TATTGTTTTGTTTCTAATTTCCATAAGCTAGATTTATATTGAGTTTAGTTAAATTGTTTTTATTGAATCTCTTTGATCACAACACAACCATTGAGCTTATTGTATTTGCATACATTGTATAATTAGGTTGTGGGATTGTGTGACTTAGAGAGTGAGCCTACATTGAGTTCTCATCTATTGTAGAGAACAAATTTGTTGTATTGGGAGCCTAATTGTGAGGAACACTTTGTATTACACTAGTACACCAAGAGGAGTGTGTGGTGAGAGACAGGGTTGTCCCAAGAGGAGTGGGGTAGGTGATAATGCCTAGAGAGAGGTTATAATTCCTAACACTTGAGGGGTTGTCCCAAGAGGAGTGGGGTAGGTGATAATGCCTAGAGAGAGGTTATAATTCCTAACACTTGAGGGGGACACGGGCTAGAGACCAACACTTGAGGTGGTAGTTAGTGTAGTTACATTGTGAGTGATTGTAAAGTTTTCGGTTAGCTAGAAAACCGTATTGTGAGGTGTAAACGTTTTTCGGGTAAGCGTAGAAAACCCGGTGTGATAGTGGAGATCTCCTCGAGGTGAGGAGCGGGGACGTAGGTCAGGCGGACCGAACCTCGTAAACATATCGTTTTGTTTGTGTTTGCATTGACGCACTTATTTTCATATTTATATTGCCTTTGTCTATTGCACATTGTTTATATTCCCACTATCTTATTTTGTTTGTTTCACCCTTGTATTAGTTGTATATCCTTGCATATATATCTTGTCATATATCATACTTGCTAGGATATTTGTTAATAAGTTTTAAATTGGTATAAATCGGATTAGATTAGCATAAACCCTATTCACCCCCCTCTAGGGTTCCTTCCTAGCGGTATCAGGGTACTTTCAAAAACTTTGTTTTCTTTTTTATTTTTATTCAATTTTTATCAATTTAAATAATCATCATATTCAACCACGTGTATTACACGTGCATCTCAACTAGTGTTTAAAAAAAGGTTGGTAAATATCCTCCAATTTGAAAGTCTATAGTTCTTGGAACGTGTATTAAGATATTCCATTTTTAATGCCCCTCCTATTTATCCTGTTTTACCTGAATTGATATTTCTTCACTTCCCAATTCAAATACAGTTAATATCACACTCTGTAAATACAGTTATTTTTCTTTTTTTACTTACAACAGATCGCTATTGCGTAATGTAACAAGAATCGTTATTGAAGAAGTGAATTCTCACTCGCTTGAGATTGCGGAGGATCAAATCCGGATAGAATTTTAAATAACAGTAAACCTACTCAACCATTTACCATTATCTCAAGAGATTTCCTCTAATATCCCGTAACAGATATTTTTAGATTTGTTACATAAAATTCCAGTTTCAAAACTTTATCGCAATGGAATATTCTCAACCCTCTATTCCCCTTTATAACCCAGCAATCATAAACCCTGAACCATCCAACTCAACATCTCATATATATCAACGAAAGGGAAAGCAGCAATGGCTCCTTCTCGTAAGTCTCTTTTAATATTTTCGTCTGAGTAAAACATGAACACATTCTCACTTCATATTCATTTGATATTTTCCAGGTTACATTTCAATAATTCTATTATCATCGCTTGTTAGTGCTTGTTATGGGAGAAATTTGT